TTTTACATTTGATTACTTTAATTTCTGTAGTCTTCAATGTAAAAATTAAATACAGATTAATGCTTACCATTAAAGTTATAAAACAGTAATTTTCTTTGTCTTTTGTTCTTTCCGTGCGTTCACACCGCTGCCGTCGAGAGCGTCAAAGTGGCCGGAAGTCATTCATTTTCAATGTGAGCCGGCATCGAGCAGCGGCGCGGCACGTCTTGGACGTTGAGGAGAGTTGAAATCAGGTCAACTTTATGGTAATGAGCTATGACGCGGTTCGGCGGCATCTGGCAGCAACCAATCGGAACGTAGAAGTCCAACGCTTTAGAGGATTCCAGAGAACGCAGTCCTGTAAACTTTGGTTCCGACCACATTAGTTCCCAAGCAAAATGGAGGAGAGGTTGATTATTGCTGTGGCGGGTTTCCCAATAATCTATGACGTGTCCCTGTTTGCATACAGGGACATAAATAAAATTTAATAAATGATGCGTGGACCAAGGTGTCTGAGATTGTTGTGGTGTTCCTGGTGAGTTGCTGATGTGCATTAACGTTATAGGAATAATAATCTAATGATATAATAAATAATAGTATAACAGTCCCAGTTCACTTTTAAACCTTTAAATCAATTTTCATGATTATACTTACATTAAGTAATGTTTATACCTGATTATACTTAAGTAACATTTTCAATTCAGGACTTTTACTTGTATCAGAGTATTTTTACAGTGTGGTATTAGTGCTTTATACATTATGAGGTAAAGGATCTTAATACTTTCCACAACAATATTTAATGAGGTTAACTTATAACGTTACCCTCCTTGTGGTCAGTCTGCACAAGATCAACAAACGTGTTTGCGTTGCGTCCCCTTTAAATACAAGATAAGCATTCGATCTACGTCAGAGCGTCCACAAATCTTTCTACAGCGTTGTTGGCAGGGCAGCCAGAGCGATTTTTGACGCTCTCGACGGCGGCGGTGTGAACGCACAGTAATTGAATAGTTTGTATTTTTTATTACAAACTATTATATGTAAGTGCGAACTCGTGAAATATGTTATATTATGTGCAGCAGCAGTATTTTTTACATGCTCGCGGCAGCATGTCTGTAGATGTATTGGCAGTAGAAAATCTCAGTACTTGCTCTGCTGCAGCAGCAGCAGCGTAGTGGATTTATTCCACTAACCAAACACATTAACATTTCCATGTATATTACCATGCTAAACTCATGTCATGACAGAATTGTTGTTGAGTGAAAATTGGGCCCTAAATTTTGTAGTGCATACCTGGTATTAGATTGTGTCTTTTTCATTCAAACATAGTGATCATCATTCACATGAACAAATACAAATTTGCCTTTGATTGTGGGCTTTTGTCTGCGATCTCTATTAACTGGCGGTGAGTTGAAAAATCAGGCCTAAAATCTTGTAGTGTGTGTGGATGGCGTTAAATATCTAGATCTGTCTGCATTCCAAGTCCTGTGGTGTGAAATCTGTTTTGACTAAATCTTACATCAACAAATGACAGACATTTGTGTAGTGTGAGAACAACAACAATCTGATGACTTTGAAAGTCATGTTGTTTATGGGTGGCATAAGAAATCACAAAATAGTCAGAAGTCAGAAGAACAGGGACTGTAAGGAAAGCAGGTTTGACGAATCAATGGTCTGGCGTTTGCAAGTTAGACTCCTAAAAACACCTTTGCTCATGTGCAAATAAGTGCGCGCACAACCACGGATGATTAATTTTCCACTTAAGTCGAGTCTGGGGTGTGCGGATACAGCATCGTCTGCGATAATATGGTAAGTGTTGTTGTAATGATGTACGATCTGACATTATCAAGTAGGCTATATCACCAAATCACACACAGAGTGCACGCACGTTGATTTATTAGTCTATTAAAACTCAAAATTCATTCAAGGCATTCGAAATTGTAGACGGCAAAAATGCTTCTGTATGCTTTTTATATATATATAATTTAATATAGTTAACTTAATCTATATCACACAAAGAGTACCGGTTTTCTGCAGATATCAGCATGATAACACATTTAAT